TGGTCGTAAACTCTTAAATATATTTTACGTAGTAATAAAAATATAACTTGACATACGTATTTATGAATAATTTATATTCAAATTACATTATTTCTATGACCAAAGGCGGCTTAAGGCATAGACGACGTGGGCCTCATCCTATGCCTCGCAGTCTGAAGGGCCTCGCGCCTCGAAGATTCATGCATTACGTAAAAGTCGCGAACGCGACGAAAAAATTTTACTCGTCGTAAAACGATAAATAGTTCGTCAAATTTTTATTCATAAAAATTGCAGTTTCAGCTGCTTTTTATATTATAAAATCCGTCTTTTTGCGCCACCAGAGGACTTTTTAAACTATAGGTAGTCTGTTAGCGTTAATTAGTAGTAGTCTAAATTTAATACGAGCGTTTGTTTTTTGAAAATTTGATCACGATTTAAATACAGTATTTACTTTTAATATTACCGATATGTCATCGAAAAGAAAACGTGTTGTATCATCATTAAAAACAAATTAAAGTATTTGTTTCGATTATCCGGATTTTTTTCTTATCTGGACTATCTTCATCCCCAATTAGTCCAAATAATCGAGGTTCTACTGTACTGTACCTACCTATACAATGTATTGATTTTGAAAAAATGTGTATTTTGTTTAATGAAGAAGTGTTCGTAAGATAAAATATCGCAAAAAGAACAATGCTTTTTAAAAAAGTTTTTTTTATCTGTCCACCTTAAATAAAAAATAATTGATTGTGCGTTGTGAAATAATTTAATAAATTTTGTAAATTACTGTTTGATGCAGTTAGTTATATCCGATGTTTTTTGTCTATAAAATTTAATACATGAATTATTTTGCTAGTAAAAAAATTGACTTGCCATTGATCTTTTGCCAATAACTGATACTTTTTAACAGAATCTATACAAACTAGTAGCCTGGGACGCCCCCTAGTGGGCGTTATTTACAAATTTTTATGATGCATAGTTCCATTGACTTTTTTGTTCCTATTAATATGCTGTACAGTTTTGTTAAAGTCCCAATGGTAAGATTTCCCTCTGAATGAAGGTGTGTCAACTGTCCAAACTATAGCCCTCCTGTGCAAACAATAAAGTCAAAGGAACCATGCCCCTACTCGCGACCCTTCGCGAGATATAAGCCTGTGAAAATTCGCCTACGTCATTTCCGGTCACGTGGCATGGTCATAAAACTTTCCGATTAATAACTAATAGCTTTTCGATTTAGGAAATGCAAATAGATATAAAATTTATGAAAACGTAGATATACAATATTAAATTAAAAGAATATATTTGATATATTTACCAGAGTACTAGTGGTTTGGGTCAGACTGAAAAATTAATTTTTCGATCACAAATCTTAATTAAATTAATTTTATTTTATCAATAAGGAAAGTTTAATATATTCTTTATAATTAAATGCTAAATGGACCCCCTGTTTAGTATAATAAACTATTATTTATCCATATAATTTTGTTATTTGATTATTACAAGAGATCACAAAATTGTTTTAACTTTTGGTGTTTGCTTTTTTCAACAATATGAAAATCTACCCTATTGTAAGTTTCTAACAAAAGTAATGTTTTTTCTTATTCTTAAGAAACTAATCTTACAAAAAAGTAACTCTTATAGCCTCTAACTATCACTTGTTAAAAAACCAAA